TTCCAATTCTGATTCCAGCATAGATGTCCTCAGTAAGGTGGATCATAGCTGCCAAATACAAACTGTACATACAGTCAATGCTCTGTTGGTCCACAAAGTTTAGGATTTAAAACTAATATTTCTTCAACTACAAATAACCTCATATTTGAAAAGAAGGAAAGCATCTGGGTGGGTGAGCGGCTATGAAAGAGAGAGGGAGAAGGAGAAGCAAGGGAAGGGGAAGGAGGGAAGGAGGCAGGAAGGGAATGAAAGAGAGAGCAGACAAAAGAGAGAGAAAGAAAGGAGAGATAGAGAGACAAAGAGAAAAGGGGCTTCCCTCTGAAAACTTCATCAATACACCAAGCACTCTGCAGCAATAGCAGCCACATGGCTCAACCCTTGCCCTTCAGCCTCACTGCCAGGTATTATTGGGTAAAATCACAGAAGTCCAACCCCTGCTTCTGGGAGGGGACAAGGGTAGACTATAATGAGATGATTTTAAAGCCCTGTTAACTTTTTCCATTTTAACTGATATTTCTGGATGAGGCACCAGCTCTCTGGGGAGGCCAGTTCTAAGGCATTCCATAGAACCCAAAGCCAGCTATAAAAGACTAGCTTGGGGCAGAGCTGTTGGGGAAGGAGTTGCACTTGAATTTCCAGTTATTCCACATCCAGATTCAGGAGGCCACAATTAGGGAAGAAGGCTGCCTCTTTACTCACAAGTCCCACAGGGAATGTAGAATGAAATGACCTCATAATTATCTCTACCTCTCATGGTCTGAGAATCAGAATTTCTTGCTTATTAGTGCTAAGGAACATTAATATCCAAATGAAGGCTCAGAGGTGTTAAGTAAATGTCCAAGGATCACAGGCCAGGAAGCAGCACAGTTAGCCTGCAGAGGCAGGTCTGGTGGACACTGAGCCCATGTTGTTCTCCTCCGTGCCCAGTGCACTATTACAGGACAAGTCTTTGAGGTAGCAAAGGGGAATGAGATCTAGTCTCTACACCTGGGAGCTTGATAAATGCCACGGTTAGAGTATCTTTGGGAGCTGTAGTTCTGCTTCCATGAGAGACTCATCCTGGCCTGAAGCACACTTTTCCAGCAAGAGATTCTCTTTATATCTCAATGTCTGCACTTATGAAATAAGGAATAATGCCTACCATCAATTAAAATGTACCTTTTGATATGCTCAAGCGTTTGTAAAATATTCTAAGGCCCTTAGTATCATGCCAATACAAAGGATTACTCCTAATATTAATGGATTATAGCTACTACTACACAGAACATTTAAGTGTGATGCTCTGGGCATTAGTGAAATGAATTTGTTTAGTAAGTAAGGTGGCCTTATACCAGCTTCCACAGCACAAACTGACGGGAAATGAGGAAACTGGATTTAAGAAGATTTTGAAGTCCTGACTCTAGCTTGATTTGTGCTCATAAGGAAAAGACCAAGCTCAGTTACAACAAAAACGGGAATGGAGTAGAAAGGAAATCTTGGTACCAAAACAGGGTCAGGAAGGATACATGGGTAACAATCACTGGGTGAAAGAAAGCATCCAACTTTTTAGCTGTATTGTTTTTCATCTCCTGATCTGAATTCACATAGCAGGGTTACATGGTTGCTCAACAGCTGCCCAGCTTCATGCCAAGGCAGGTAAAACTACCCCTGGGCAGAGCACGCATTGAGCAGAATCAACAAACTCCACGCCTGCCTCCCATGGGAGACTGTAGACGTCAGAGGGGGCTCTGGCTTAGCGTGCCATAAGGAGGGCTATGCAGAAAGAGACTCTGGTCAGGACTCTGCAAAGCCCTGTGGAGTCTGTGGGGAACAATAAGAATGCAGAATATAAATGTAAGCTGCAGGCTGATGGGCCCATTAGGAATTAGGACAGTCTTTGAAAGGAATCTGCGGAGATGATGCAAAACACTAAGCATGTGACCCAAATCATGGCAGGGCATATTGGAGGGAGAGGGGAATGGGAATGAGACATTTTCTAATCTGATTAGTCTGAAGTTTCCCCTGAGTGTGGAAAAGGGTCACTGCACAATTAGAGGCAAAGCTAGACTGAACATAGTCTGCTTAGCAGCTGAGAGGGATGACCTCCTCAAAGCTAAGCTGGGCTTGGAGGCAGATGTGTTCAGAGACTGAGATGACTTCGAAGCAAGTTACGAAATAGTATTTTTGCATTTAATGTCAAATCATAAAGGCAAAGACAAAACAGTCTGCTGAGAGAGTGAGAGGATGATGACTTGGTGGCCTCAGCATTGGATAAGAAACATCTAGGTCCTCCAGAGGCCAGGCTCCCACATTACTGGACGTTCCAGGACAGTTCATACTCAAGGCCATCTAAAGATAATCTAATAAACATCCACGGCTTCCTGACTAGAAGACAGCTTAATGTGTGAAAGGCATTCAGATCCAACTGTCAAAAAACAAGGCTTCCTCTCTACAGAAGGACACGGGTTTCTTCCAGTTAATTTCTAAGTCAGAGTGTGTGGTCTATAATCCCACACTTCATCTAATCCCTGATCAATACTTAGCACCAGGTACTGTGCTGGGTACTTTAAGTATGTTATCCCAATTAATCCTCAGAAACACTAGGAAGTAGGTACTGTTACCTCATTCTAGAGGTAAGGAATCTGAGGTTCAGGCAGGTCAAAACTCTTGTACAAGATCACACAGCCGGTAAGTGAACTCAAAGAATGCAAGAGACAAGGTAGAGGATAAAATAGTCAAGATGTGACAACCCATTGGTTCTTTGTAGGTGGTAAATCAAACAGGTGACTGTATCTGAATGAATCAAAGGTCAAGTCACAATTTTCATTACAAGGTAGGAAACAAAAAGAGACACAGAAATAGTGCTGTGAGAATTCTTAGGAGGAGATAATCACTCCAATTATCAGCCAAACAAATGCAACAGGACTTCATGGACTGGGTGCCACTTGAAATGGGTCTTGAAGGAAGAGCAAGCTTTCAGCACATGAAAAAAAAACTGGAACCTATTTTCTATTGAAGAAATAGCAAGAGAAAAGGCATAAAAATGGGAAGATAGGAGGTATATGTGTGAAATGCTAAATGTCCCGTTTGGCCAGACTATTGAAAATAGGAGAGAGCCTTGGGGTATGATAACTGGAGAACTCTGACTCCTAGGCCTACCTACTTCATCTCAGATCTTTTACAACAGGATAACTACTTATTTCTCACATTCTGCTAGCAAATGAAAGCACATAAAACTAAAACAAAAAAAGTCAAACAAAACAAATAGAACTGATACTCTAGAAAATTACTCCAGGTTGATCCAATGCACACACACACACCCAACTTGATTTGCCCTCTTCTGGATTTCCCTCCAGACACCTTGGACCCTAGTTCCTCCACATGGGATTTGGTTTTATCTGTTCCTTTGGTTTCTCCTTTTATCTCAGATGAAAACACCCCCACTCCAGCCCTTGCTTGAGAACAATGTCCCAACTAACAACACTAAGCTCCAAGATGGAGAAGAAGCTTAGTTCAAAGCTAAGGTTGGTTTTTCCTTAGAGAGCAAAGAGATACCACAAAAGGATTGTGAGTAGAAGAGTGACACGACAACATATATTTTTGCTCTTAGAAGGTTCTTAGCTGTGGTATATAAAGATGGATTTATTTATTTATTTATTTATTTTGAGTTGGAGTCTCACTCTGTCACCCAGACTAGAGTGCAGTGGCCGCTCCCGGTCACTGCAGCCTCGACCTGCTGGGCTTCGGAGATCCTTCCGCCTCAGCCTTCCGAGTAGCTGGAACTACAGGCGTGCGCTACCACACCCGTCTAATTTTTGATTTATTGTAGAGATGAGGTCTCGCCAAGTTGCCCAGGCGGGTCTCGAACCCACGGGCTCAGGCAATCCACTCACCTCAGCCTCCCAAAGGCGCGGGATTACAGGCTGAGCCACCGAGCCCAGCTAAAGACAGATTTAAAAATTAAGAGACTGGTGAAAGAAAGACCACTGTGGTGGCCCTGCAGTCTTCAAGAAGCAATGTGGGTCAGAACGAGAGTGATGATAGTGGAAACAGAGAGGAAAGAGTGAATTCAGGCAGTAAGGAGGAGGTAAAATTGTCAAAAATCCTAATCTACTTGCTCTTTGTAGACAATAATTCAAAATGATTAGAAGCAGGGAATGTGCATTTGAAAGGTTCAGAGGTAAAGTCACAGCTCTTCCTCTTCTACATTATATGGCTGTACAAAATACCTCATCTCTCTAAACTTCAACGGCCTCACATATAAAATAGGAAGGATAATAGTTTTGACCTCACCAAGTTGTTCTCAAAAAGTAAATGAGATAATGTATCCAAAGTAGTGATGACAATGCCTAGAACACAGCCAAAAAATGTCAGAATTATCAAGATATGTAAGTCAAGGGAGGAGCTGGAATGATGCCATAGGAAGCATCAAGGACGACCAGAGTCTAGGTGGCTAGGAGGGAAGTACCAGGAAGTCAAAAGTCATGTTCAACAGGAGAAGTGCTTTAGAAAGCAGTTCACTGTGCTCTCCTTTTATGACATCATCACCTCTATGCTTTTTTTTTATTTTTTAATTTAATTTAACTCATACCACAACTATATCTCTATGTTTAACATCTAGTGCTCTAGCAGGACAGAGTCCCATGCTAATAACCCGAGGTCCTCTTATTGCATATCTTTAGCTATCAGGAACTACTGCTTTGAAAAACCTGTCCCAAGTTTTACATCTAATGACCTTACAACTAATAGTTTTACATTTCATTTTGTCCCAGGAATCTGTGGATATGTAAGTGTGTATTCATGTGAAGAAAGACAAAATAATAATTTATAACAGGTTCGCTAACATGTAAAATCATGATGAACTTTTACTTTTGTAACACTTAAATGGAGGGATATCAAAAATAAAATCAAAACAGTCAAGGGTAAATCAAGAGCAATTAAAAGGTAGGTGTAAACCAAAAATAGTGTCCCAAACAAAAACGTGCAGGACATTTCCTATCAAGAGTAGAGCTCTCACTTACCTGGACAATAAGGATTCTAGAAGATCATCATTTAAAGGTAACCTGGAGGATTTGCACAGCCTTTTGATGTCTTTGCTGGGTAATACATTTTTTCTGCAAATTAAAACAAGAAAATGGGCTTTTGTATATGTTGTGTCCCTTTGGTAACAATTACATGTTCGGAGGTCACCAGATCCTGTCCTTACAAAGGCCTTTCCATAAAGACGCATATTCTTGGTTGGTGATAACATAGTTTATTAACGCTGTAGCCATGAGTGTTGCTCTAAGCAATCAATCTACATTCTTGACCACTAGTCAAAAATGGTTCTGATATTTGAAAACATCTCTTAATTTGACAGGCATCGAGAGCCTCCAACACAAGTATGATATGACTTGAGGGTGTTTTTCTGGTCTTTTCCTTGGACTCAAACCTTATAACCTGGAAGTCCCAGTTGGGGCCTCAACATTCACTTCAATTTTGTCAGAAGCAAGCAATTTTCTCTAGAACAGCTCAACAGTCATTTTATCCAGCCTGCTGAGAGCACAAAATTGTTTCTCCAATATTCTCATTCAACGAATGCTCTTCCAGGCATCAGGCAAAATTAGAACCAACAGAAAATGAAGTAGACTCTTTTCTTTGCAATGAGAATGTTTACATCTAGAATCAAAGTTGTCAGATCTGGAAGAACTTCAGGCTGCCTGATCAAGCACCTCCATTATTCCCATTTGTTTTCTGAAGGAGGGTAACACTTCTCACTCTGAGATGGGGTACCACCAAGGTGGAAAGCAAGGCCAGGGTCGTGCAAAAGTCAGGCCACACATCCTCTGGGAAGCCTAGGGAAGCTTAAGGATTCAAGAAAAAAATGCCACTTTTATGTAAACTCAACGAGGATGCATTATGGATTAGGAAAAAAAGTCATGCTCATTTTAAAGATATATTGTGGGACTTTCACAGATATTTAAGGTATGAAACTGACCACTTGGGTACAGACTTCAAGTTTGGGGATGAGGTAAGAAGTCATAGGAAAGAGAGATGATGTGGTGAGCAGTAACAAAGTTAGAAACTAAGGTGAGAACTAAAATTTTCTAACTCCAAATGAAATAGATAAATTTCTATTTCTCCCTAATATATCAAGCCTGTAAGTAGGATGAGTACCAAAACATATTAATATTTTTGCATCCAGCTGTATATAACAATGACTTCATAAAGCTCAAAACACATGTGATCAATATATTAGAAATAGATTGTGCTGAGCTTTATTATTTTCAAGAAGAAATAATTTCAAAGACAGTTTGCTTGCAAACTCCCTTTTCTGTTTATTGTAAGAGTCACGTTTATAAATTCCAGTGCTAAAATAACATAAAATGAAGACATCTCAGAATTAAACCTTCTACTTTCTTGATTTACTATGTTTCAGTTGAAAGCTTCTAGAAATTAATGAAAAAATAATGCAAGGGAGCAGTTTATTCTTTTGAATCAACACACAAAACTTACTGTCACTGTGAAATATTTGCACCCAAATAATTCTCCACAAATGATTTAAGGTGGCTTTGCTAAACAGTGGAGTATAAGACATGACTATTTTCTCTTTGCCCTTTTTGACAAAATACAAATTCCTTACAAGTTTACAGAAACTTAAATGATTTGTCAGATTCAATTTTTAAAAAAAGCTTACTTTTCTCGATCTTCATACACACAGCAAGAAATGAGTCGGTCGAAATTCTCAAAAAAGTTTTTCTTGAGCTTTTCGTGGGCCAGTGCAATTAAGACATCTGCGCCTGAACATGTGTCCTCGGGCACACGGTAGCGACGTGCAATGGTTATAACCTCTTGTTCTGTGAGTTTTCCAACAGTAATAGTCATCAATAGGTCTCTGTAATGAAAAGAGAGAAACAGTCACAAAATGATATCTAAGAATACAGTATTTTACCTCTCCTTCTATTAAAAAGATCCAAACCCCATTTTACAAAACTTTTACCAACTGTACAGGGGAAAGGTGATGATTTTTCTTTAACTTAATTTCTCTACTTAATTTAGGAGCAGCAGGAAGGCACCAATGCCAGAATGGAAAATCACAGGCATTATAGCTTATAACTAAAGTGGCATTTTGCCCAGAGTCAAGCTTCTACCAAATAATAGCCTACAACCAGGAAGTAAAATTTTAAAGGCCTTCAATGATCAAAAAAGCTGTCACTAAGTACATGACTTTATTCAATGCCTATTAACCTCCCTTACACAAAATAGTAACAGGCTTGGGTTTCTGGTTTCCCAGGGTATAAAATTTATAAATCAATAAATTAGAAAGGTGTTTTGGGATGGGAAAAGCAATCATGCACATTTCTATAATAAAAAGTAGAAATAAACGTGCCGTGGCAGTAAGAAAAAAACAAGAGAAAAAAATGACAAGTTAAAAGAGCTATGTAAAGGTATAGCTGTTTGAGTCTTTAGAATGCAAATGACATTGAGATTATTTGGCAGAGCTAAAAAAAAAAAAAACAAATAACATATTATCAATGAGGACTCAAAGCCTAACAAATTGGCTGAACTGTTTTCAATAAACTTGTATAAAAGTTACAAACTATGCAGCATACATTAGAAAGAATTGTATCAAAGTGATTAAAATGCAAACTATTATGGTGGTTACATGATTAAGCTTCCACAGTCTAGGAAATTTACCTACCACAAATAATTCAGTTCCCAAGAATCTCAAGCAAATAAGGGAATACAAAATTTTATTTGCCCTTTTGCTATAGACAGATCATGGAAAACAAATACTTTAAGTTCCCTCTAGCTATTTCTGGGTCATTATCTCTATCATTTAAGAATTCTAGATTCTCCTAGTTAAGAATTTTCTTAGAGTCTAGGAAAGCCCATAGCCACGACTTATCTGAAGAAATTGCATTTCACCTACATCCAATTCACAAGTATTCTGTTTTATTATTTTTGTTCTGTTTTAGTTTGATTTTGTTTTTGCATTTTTAATGGCAAATGAAGGAAAAATTCAACCAAGAGGTTCCCAAAATTTCAGCAAGTCAGGCCAATCAATTAGTAAGACTGGCATAAGGCTCAATGTGTAAAAAACACTATAAGAGCTGCTTTGGCATCTGAATTTTTCACAATCTACTATCTATCTGGGCTTCCCAAGTATATAGACGATCTCTCAAAGCCAGCAATGAGTAGGGCCTCTTAAATGAACCGAGTAATAGTAATAACAATCTCCGCCATTTTTTGAGTACTGGCTATGTGCCAGGTCCTGTGTTACCAGGTACACTTGGAATGAATCACCTCATCTAGCCCAGGAAGTAGGTGCTATTATTATCCCCATTATACAGATGAGAACAGTGAGGCATGGAAATGTTAAGTAATGCATTCAGTGTTATAAGAGCCAGAATGTGAACCCATGCAGAGTGGCTCTAAAGTCTACACTCCTACATATTACTCTATCCCTCTTCTGTTGAAACACAGAAGACAAAGTGATCCAATGGAGCGGAACTGTCAGGAAAATCCTCCTAACAGCAGTGGGTTTTAAGTTGATTTTTTTCAAATGGGCCTCTATTGCCTTTATTGTCCATTATCTCTGCTTTGAAGGCTATCACTAATCATCATTACAAAGTAAGAGAAAATAATTTCAGCAACTCTTGAGTTACCAACCATCCCTGAGAGTGCTAAGTGACCACAAAGGACCCACTCCAAGGAAAGCCCCTGGCTTCTTTATAACATTATTCAAGAAATAATGTCATGCCACGTGCATAAAATAGAACACTACACCATCACTAAAGGTATGATGCTCGGGAGGCTGAGGTAGGAAAACTGTTTGAGATCAAGAATTCAAGACCAGCCTGGGCAACACAGTGAGAATTTATCTCAAAAAAAAAAAAAAAATTAAATTAGCTGGGCATGGTGGCACGTGAGCCCAGGAGTTTAAGGCTGTAGTGAGCCATGATCACATCACCATACTCCAGTCTGAGCAGCACAGCAAGACATCATTCAAAAAAATTTTTTAAATATGATGTTGACTGATATTTATTGGTATGATAGATAGCATTGATGTTTGTAAATGTAGTATGATCTCCCATGAAAATCAAGATAGAGAAGCATACATAATCATAGAGGAAAAAAACCCAGAAGGATACATTCCAAAACATCAACAGCATTATTGCTGATGGTTAAAATTCCTTTCTTTTAAAAAAAAAAAACTTTCACTTTTTCGGAATTTTTGTAATAATTAAATATTACTTTAATTGTCTAAATGAAAACAAACTTGCAAGCATTTTCCTTTTGAGAGTAGAACATGGTGTGAAAAGGAGCAAGGAACGTGTGTAGCAATAACTAGAAACTTTCCATGCACCTTTCACTAAACTTATTATAGCACCACCAGAACATAAAAGTTTATTTTCCTTTTCATTGGATAAACTGAAATTATCCTGGTTTCACTGTAGTTAAAATTTATATCTGCTGGGTTTCTGTATGCTTGGGTTTTAAACAGCTCAGTCTTCCACAGCTTTACACAGCCTTACGGTGAGAGTTTCCAACAAGTTGCACTATACTTCAAACTACTGTCAGTCCTGCAGGGTACCAGGGGCCTCTGGAGCAGTTGCCTGTGTGACTGCTGAGCCCCACATGAAGCAGGTCACCACACCAGAGATCTCAAACAGAATGTCCAAGATGACTGCCATCGCCTTGCCCACGTTTGTCACATGTCTTTTTTAGGACTCATCTCACCCTGTCAAACTTTAATAGGATTCACAAAGAATTAAGAATCGTTTCAAAAACAACACACTCCATTTTTTTATTATGGTAAAATGCACAAAGCATAAAATTTGCCATTTTGTACATTCACAATGTTGTGCAACCACCACCTCCATCTAGTTCCCAAACATTTCCATCACCCCCAAAAAATTCCGTACCTATTAAGTAGCCACTCCCCTTTCCTCTCTTCCCCCAGCACCCCTCCCTATCCAGCAACCACTTATCTGCTATCTCTACTGATGTGCCAGATTCAGGATATTTTATATTGATGAAATCACATAATATGTGGTATTTTGTGATTGACTTCTCTCACCACATTTTCAAGGTTCATTTAGGTTGTAGCATGTACCAGTACTTCATTACTTTTCATGGCTGAATAACAGCCCATTGTATGAATGTACCACACTTTGCTTATCCATTCATACATCCATGGACATTTGAGTTGTTTCCACTTTGGGCTACTGGAAATAGTGTTCTATCAATATTTGTGTACAAGTTTTTGTTTAAACACCTGTTTTCAATTCTTTGGCGTGTATACATCCAGGAGTGGAATTCCTGGGTCACGTGGTAATTCTGTTTAACCTATTGAGGAACTACCATACTGTTTTCTATACACTCCATTTTTGCTTAGTAGAAGACATAAATACAGAAGTGCAGCTTTCATCAAACATAGCTCTTCCTTACCTAAAACTTAATAGTTGGCCAGGTGCTATGGCTCATGCCTGTAATCCCAGCACTTTGGGAGGCCGAGGTGGGAGGACTGCTTGAGCCCGGGAGTTTCAGGCCAGCCAACTCAAGCAACATAGTGAGACCTAATCTCTACAAAAAATAAAGAAATTAGCTGGGCATGGTGGCACATGCCTGTAGTACCAGTGGTGAGCCGTGATTGTGTCACTGCACTCCAGCCTGGGTGACAGAGTAAGACTCTGACTCAAACAAAAATAAGAATGTAAATGTAAATACTAAAACTTCATAGTGAGCTTGAAATAAGATCTGATACAAAAATCTGATCTTGGTACTTCTTATCCAACCATTTAAGGGAAATAAAAATGCATTTTAAAAAGCAGCTATAAGTATTGATCATGTGTTCTGTGACTGCTATTACTAATCTTTAAGACTTTGATGGCAAGTTACTTTGTCTTTACCCAACATCGCACTACATCGCTGGCATGAATATTTTATACAGTATAATACTGCAATATCACAGTATTATTTAGTTAATCTTATAAGGGATGCTGCCATGATTTTTCTCTCAGTTTTTGTGACTAAAGTTATAACACCCTAAAAAAAATGACAAGCTGCTCTAGGGTATGGAGAATTCTATGCATAACTCTGAACATGAAATGCTAAACAGCTTTACAGACATAATTCCATTAAAGTCATCCAGTCAAGTAATGGTAAATCAAAACTTCCTTTTAAAGCTCCGAATCCCAAGGTATTTTCTTACATATTGAATCATTAAAGTCTAAGCAATGTCTTTCAAACAAACTAAAAAAATTAGTTTTGGCATAAACAAGGGTTCAAGAGCCTAAGCCTTAGACCCTAAGGCATAATCTGGTTGAGCCTAAATTAAACCATGCAGCCGTTTTGATGAAATTAGGTAACACCCTTTCTCATTTTCTCCAATTTGATATTCATCAAATAAACTGTATTTCACTTCCTCTAATCAGAGGCTACACACACCTGCTCACATCCTACACTCCCCTGGGCTTTCTCTTACATTTGTGGGCCTAAACTGCCCATACAGAGCTGAAATTCCTGCCATATTGTCACTTATATCCCAGTATGGCATACTGTTGGACTAGTGTGTTGCCAGACAGTAGAGCATGGTAGAGATAGCTGGTAGAATATGTGTTAGAGGAAGGAGGGATAATATTATGACCAAACAGCCTTTGCTACAGGCCTAATCAGAGTTCAAAGCCATGTACAAAGCTCTTCAGCGTCATTGGAGAACAAGGCTGTTACAAATTGCCACTTTGCACTGCCCACCGCCAGAGAGTGCATTTACCTTCATGGTGTCTTCACCACCAGAGAGGCCAAAGAATTCCAGAAAAAAGGGGGTCACTATAAACTATAAGAAAATTATCTACTCCAGCCAAGGGCACAAACCTATTTTCAAATGGA